CAGTCCAAGCACTTATGGGGTCTGTCTCCTGTGTGGATTACCTGATGTTTAACAAGGTCTGACCTCTGTATGAAACTTTTCCCACAGTCCAAGCACTTATAGGGTCTCTCTCCTGTGTGGATTGCCTGATGTTTAACAAGGTCTGACCTCTGTATGAAACTTTTCCCACAGTCCACGCACTTATGGTGTCTCTCACCTGTGTGGAATGCCTGATGTTTAAAAAGGGCTGATCTCCATGTGAAACTTTTCCCACAGTCCAAGCACTTATAGGGTCTCTCTCCTGTGTGGATTGCCTGATGTTTAACAAGGTCTGACCTCTGTATGAAACTTTTTCCACAGTCTAAGCATTTATGGGGTCTCTCTCGTATTTGGCTTATCTGGTGTGTAATTAGTGCTGATTTCCAATTCAAACATTTCCTGCACTCATGGGACTCATTGGGTTTCTCTCCTGAATGGCCTCTCCTATGGTTATTGAGGTCTGAGCGGTTATTGAAGCTTTCTCCACAGTCCAAGCACTGAAGGGGTTTCTGACCAGTATGGATTGTCTGATGTGTCACAAGCTGTGATCTCAAAATGAATCCTTTCCCACATTCGAGGCACTGATAGGATTTTTCTTCCTTGGGATTTGTCTGCTGGGCTGTGGGATCCTTGTCTCCTGCCCAACATTGAATGGATTCATCCACTTTCTTCTTTGGGTGTTTTCCCAGCAGCCTCTCTGACCTGTGCCAATTTCCCCAGGCTTTTCCCTCTTCCAAGCACTGGAAAAAATTCCCTTCAGCTCTTCGCACAAAGGTCCCCTGTGGTTCCACTTCCCCAGGAACATGCTCATGATGATTCCCCTCCTCATTCTCACTCACTCTGTCATCACCTGCTGGGAGAGAGACAATCCAGACAGGAGTCATTGTGTTAGGGAGAAAGAGGAATAGCACAGAGCGAAAACCCAACATGCTAATGCTGTGAAGACTGAGTAATTGGATTCTGCCTCCACTTCCCACCCAAACACTCAGAGGGATAGAAAGATGGGAAGGAAACTCCTGCAGCTAACAGGACGGGTGAAAAGCTGTGAGTGATATCTACTGACTCCAGCTCTGTTCTGCTGACTCCAGCCCTGCTCTGGCTGAGATGAGGAAGAACTGAGGGCTTTTACTCATACCACAATTTTGGGATTCTCAACTTTTTCCTTCATTAGCAAGATGGTTTCTATGTGAGTCCTCACCTGCGTGGGTGCCTCTCGAGATCTCTCTTTCCTCTGAGGCCTGGAAATCGGGCACCCACGGTTCTTCGCCTCGTTCCAGTCGGGCGATCAGCTCAGGTTTGGAAATGGGAAATCCTGCGCAGGAGTGAAATCAGACCAGATCAGGGTAAATGGAGTATCAAGAAAGTGTCTGTCATAAAGGGCATTCCATGTCCCGGTGCTATGCTGGGAGAATCTGGAATCCAAGAGGACGGGAACATGGTCAATGAGCCCCCTTGAAGGAGGGAGAAGTCTGGGGAGGTGGGGAGAATTGTTACACCCTCACTAGCAGTTCCCAGGATCTGTGCACTTTGAGGGCTTTGCTGATGCACACACAGCTCTAGAGTTAAACCCCTGCCTATTTCTAAAACCTGCAGAGCCCTCCCTTTGGCTGGAGTAATTCCCAAGGAGGCAGATGAGAATGAGAAACAATATAGATGGGACAATACGTGGCTTCTCCCCCTTGAAAGCTGGAGGGGTGGGGATGGTTTAGCACGTCCATTAGGTTTGACACCTGTATCCCATTGGTGAGGGTATGGAGATGCACATCTCTCTCACACGGCAGCTGTGGATTATAGAACCCATTCGCCTCCAATCTATCTGACCTGGGAAGAACCTGACCAGATTCAGCAATGCAGGCCCTACACTTTCTAATAACTGAGGAGATGGGAATCCCTTACCCAGCGAGGTCACAGTCTCATAGTTCTCCTGCATGACATCCCTGTAGAGGGCTCTCTGAGCGGGGTCCAGAAGAGCTCCCTGCCCCTTCGTGAAATACACAGCCACCTCCTCGAAGGTCACCGGCATCTGAAACAACAAGAGTCCCCCACTCAGCACCTGCTGCCCCAGCCACAATCGCACTAGTCACGGGAAAGGAAGAAAGAAAAAATAAAATAATCTTGGAAGCTCTGGGAGGACCAGAGTAGCAGAATTCCTCTCCCACCCTGCTCAGAGCAGCCAGGGGGCTTCAGGGGGTGGGGAGAAAGTGAGAGCTCCTTGGCTTCCCAGCAGACGGAGCAGGGGCCAGGGTCTTCTCATTTCCCACACGCCTGCCAGCCACAGGCTGACACAGGAAGCAGAGCTCTGAGCTGGGGACAGGGACAGGAACCCCAACAGCTTCCCTTCATATTTCACAGCAGCCTCTAGCCAGTGAATTCAGGCTCCAGAACTGGGAGTCTTGAAAATGTTCCCGGCCCTGACCACGGCGGTTGTGTCCTGTTTGAGAAATGGCGGCATGTCCCCCCTTCCTCCCCGTCAATGGCCCTGCTTCATCCTGTGTCTTTCCTGCCCCTACCCCTCTACAACATGCTCCCCACAGCTCCCTGAAAATCCCCTACCTGTGCTGGCTCCATCACAGCCATTTCCCTTCCCTGTGCCCTGGAAGATGGGATGATCTGGAGCGAAATCTGGACGTGATTCCTCAGCCTGTCAGGGCGAGAGGGATGATGGGGGAGGTTACAGAAGCGACTTGAGTCCATGTCACACCCCAATTCCCCCCAGGCTCTCTCCCTGCAGACAGATGCTCTGAACTCTGCCATGCTGCCAGGTCAGGCCCCTCCCAGCAGAACTAAACCCACCGGGGACACTTTTAAACCCTCCCAGTAACAGCATCTCTGCGCCAAATGCTAGAAAAAGAGCAGAATCCAAAGAGCCACTTTGGGGGGCTCCCCATGATATTATCGTGTAACCCCCTCTAGCTACCCCCCTTCTCCCCAGGTAGTGTGGGGTTCAGCAGAGTGACAGACCTGCGGGTGGCTATCTTACAACAGAAAAACTTCAAAAACAGAC